GAGCCCGTGAGGGCGTCGGTGTCGGCCGCGGGCGGGCTGCCAGGAGGGCGCGGGTGGGAGCATGGGAGATGCACCACCGCTCGACGAAGACGCGCCCGACGAAGCCCTGCTAGCGGAGGCTGGTCGATCCTCACCTATTAGCGTCGGGCGTGTGCGAAAAAGAGCGCAAATCGGAGCTCAACTCGCGCGCGGCTGGGAAAGGGGTGTGGCACCCCTCCGAAGGCGCCTCGCGAGGAGCTGCTGCTGCCTCCAAACGCGCTCGGGCAGCACGTCGGCGCGCCTGCGGGGTTGGGGAGGTGAAACTATGCTTGCTGGCACGCGCATCCCGCAGCACCCCCACGTCCGCGCGCACCATGCCGCCATCCCACCTCACAGCCAAGCGCCATCGCCGTCGGACGCGGCGACGCCGAGCGGTGGCCTCGCAGACGACGAGCGCGATGAGGCCGCCGCGCCGCCGGAGTGGCCGGCGCGTGCCAGCCGCTGGCCCGTCCAGCGTGGCGGGACCGGCTCGCCCATCCTGGCCCGCGCGCTTGCCGACGCGAGAAGATCGCGCGGGAGGGCAAATCTTGGGCAAAATGCCCTGTTTGCCAATCCTTCACGGCGACTTCACGGCGGAACGAGTCGGATCGACGACTCCCCGCCTGCACCAGCGTGTGCGCCTTGCAATTCTATACAGAATCGACACGTGGTACGTCTTCTCAATCGCTCGTGGAGAGGAGCTACGGCCATTCCTAAGTAGTGTTCAACGACGTTGAACAATGTTCAACGTCGTTGAACACGGTCCAGTAACCGCCCGCGAGCTCCCCTCTCTTTCTTTCGGGTATGGGGTCCGTGAGTGCGGGCAGCGTGCAGGCAATCACGGGCGCTATTTTGTCGTACTCCCCTTCGGCGAGCGCTCCGAATCTAGACCCCATTGCCTGAGTGCCGAGCACTTGGATGGAGCACTTGGAGCACTTGGAGCGCGGAAGAATTCTTTTCTAGCCGCCGCAGCCAAAAGGCGGTCCAGCGAGCAGGAAAGCTGCCACCCAGGCGGGGGCCTAGCTTCCGCAGCGCGCCGGGGCGGGCACACTCCGCCTAGCGCGCCGCCGTCCGCTTCCTTGAAGCGCCCTGTCAGTCTGCAGCCGGCGATCGCGCGCGCGGTGCACGCTGTGCGGCGTTGCGGCACAGCACCGCCGCAGCGCAGAGCCGCAGCGCAGGGCGGCTGGGCGCGCACACGGACCCACGACGACCGCCGCTCACCAGCATGCACCGTCGGGGCAGCCAGCCACGGCGTGCTCAGTTCCCGCCGCTCGCGCGCAGGTCAGCCGGCGATGGCAAAGGCATCGTCGTCGACAGAAGCAGACCTCAAATCGATGACCATCTCCGGTGCGCCGCCACGCCGCAGCTCGCGCGCGCCACGCCCCTCCCCCCTCGCTCGCACGCGCCACCCTGCCCGGGCGACAGCTCGCGGCGCTGGTTACCCTGGAGGGCAAGGCGCTGATTGCAGCGCCTTCTCCCGCAGGCAGCGATGCGCGCGGCGGGGCGAGCAGTAGTAACGGCGGAGCGGACCCTCCGTCGCGCTGGGTCTTTGTCAATGAGCGTGTCATCGGCAACGGCTCCTTTGGCGTCGTCTACCGGGCGCACGTCAAGCAGAATGACAAGGAAACCGCGTCCCCCCCCCCCCCCCCTCCGCCTCCGCGCCCGCTTGCGGCGTGCCCTCTCCTTGCGCGCGGGCCAACGCAGCTGCGGCGCCGCGGCGGCCTCTGAAAAACGCGGCCGCCACGCCGGCGCAGGAGGTGGCCATCAAGAAGGTGCTCCAGGACAAGCGCTTCAAGAACCGCGAGCTCCAGATCATGAAGATGCTCGACAACCACGTCAACGTGACGACGCTCCACCACTTCTTCTACACCGAGGGGGAGAAGGCGCACGCCGCACTGGCCACACCGACCCCTCCCCCCCCCCCTCGCCGGCGCGTCGACCCCGAGCTTCGCCCGCGCCCCGCGCTGCAGGCAGATGACACGTACCTCAACCTTGTGATGGACTTTGTGCCCGAGACTGTGTACGGACTCTCGCGCCACTACGCAAAGGCCAAGAAGGTCTTCCCGCTGCTGCACCTGAAGCTGTACGTGTACCAGCTTTGCCGCTCGCTCGCCTACATCCACTCCCTCGGCGTCTGCCACCGCGACATCAAGCCGCAGAACCTGCTCGTCGACCCGACGAGCCACGTGCTCAAGCTGTGCGACTTTGGGAGCGCAAAGATCCTGGTCAAGGGGGAGCCAAACGTGTCGTACATCTGCTCGCGCTACTACCGCGCGCCGGAGCTCATCTTTGGCGCCACCGACTACAGCTGCTGCATCGACGTCTGGTCCGCGGGCTGCGTGCTCGCCGAGCTGCTCTTGGGCGTGCCCCTCTTTCCGGGCGAGTCTGGCGTCGACCAGCTGGTCGAGATCATCAAGGTGCTGGGCACGCCGACGCTCGACGAGATCCAGTCGATGAACCAAAACTACACGGAGTACAAGTTCCCGCAGGTCAAGCCGCACCCGTGGGCAAAGGCGCGCCGCCCTCCTCCCCCCTCGGCCGCCGACCGCGCGCCAGTCTCCCGCCTCACCACGCCGGCCGCGCGCGAGCAGGTCTTCCGACCGCGCACGCCGCCGGACGCCATCGAGCTCGTCAGCTCGTTCCTCCGGTACGCCCCCGACACGCGTGCCAAGCCCCTCGACGGCTGCGCGATGCCCTTCTTCGACGAGCTGCGCGCGCCCGACCTGTGCATACCGCCGAGCAATCGGCCGCCGCCGCCGCTCTTCGACTTCAAGCCGCAGGAGCTCTTCGAGCACGCGCCCGGCATCAAGCACCGACTGGTGCCAGAGTGGTACGCGAAGCGGCAGCAGCAGCAGTCCTAGGCGCGCCGCTTGCGCCACCGCATATGCGCGCTGGTTTGCTCCCCCGGTCACCCATCCCCGCATCTGACGAAGGCGCGCGCGGTCTTCATCCCGCGTTTGGCGCAGGCAGCCGGGCCACTGGCGCCGCGAGTCAAAACTTGCGCACATGCATGCGCTGTGCAGAGCGAGGCCAAGGGATGGTAGCTTAAGGAAGCGGAATTCCTCTCTCTCTGCGACACATCGCGGCGGGTTCGTCGCTCTTGAGGCCGTCGGAAGCGCCGCGCACACATCGTAGCTCCCACTGTGAGTCGGGTTTATCGTCGTGGGGTAGCGTCGGTGCCCATTGTTGTTGAGTAGAAAATATGGAAGGTAAAGTGAAGGAGTCCTGCTGGAGGTGCGTTAAAGTTAACGTGTGCGGCCGACTGGGTGGAGTGGTGGACTGGCGACACCGACTGTGGGGCAGTGTGCAAACTTTACCGGTATGGGAGTTTTTGGCTAATCAAACCCAAGGCCTGCACTAATCAAAAAGTGGTACGGGATACCAGTTGCCTCACGGAAATCAAAGCGAGTCGGAGTGCCTTCTTGGTGGCAAAATCGGCAAAATCGGCAAAATACCGGGTATTTTGCGGGTATACCTGGAAAAACCCGGGTATACCCGGGTAATACCCGCACTTTTGCATGGTTTCGCCCCCGGGACCACACCGACAGCCGCTACAACTAATGAAAACCCCGCATACCACTTTCGCATACCACTATACCATACCACTCCAAAGTTAATCAAAATATCGCCAAATACCGGTCTCATACCGGTAAAGTTTGCACACTGCTGTGGGGCGTGAGGGGACTGCCCGCTCGCCGCTGCCATGGATGCAGACAGTAAAGCTTAAAGGCATGAATCGCGAACACTCGAGGAATCGAATGGTGGAACGAAAAGTGGAGAAAGTTTGCCAGAATTGTACGCGACAAAAAATTCCTCTCCTCGACCTCGTCGCGGCACGCGGGAGGCCCAGCCTCGTCAGGGTCAGGCTGAGAGAGAGATTTTTAGCAATACCAAACAACTCTAACACTCACACGTCATTTGGGGCCTGGAGCCCTGTTCACGCGCGCGCGAGACGTGCAGACAGGGTTGCCAGGTGAGAGCGAATGGCGCGGTTCACGCCTCGCACAACAGAGTCAGAGAGAGAGATGCGCTCTGCATGGTGGGACATAAAAGAGAGCGAGTACTTGGGCGAGTAGGCCGTGCGGTCGACGCTGCCGCGCGCGACTCTGCGCGCGAGGCGGCGCAGCTTGAGAACGGCGGTGGGCGAGAAGCCGCCGCCGAACGTCTCGTCGAGCAGCAGTTTGTCAGGCTGATGCCGGTGCGGATGGCCAGAAAATCATCAGCACTTGGAGCACTTGGAGTGCAGTCATCAACCTCACATCCAGGGCCGGGGAGCTAAGAAGCGCACCCAGCGGGCCGGATGATCGGCATCGGGCTACGGGCTAGAGAGCCCTGACCCCTAGGGGGGGGTGCGCGTTCGCAGGGAAAGGGCCGTAAAATAAACACGGGTCTCCGAGGGTTGGCTCTGCGCTCCGGGTTTCCCCTAGCAGCGGAACGCCCCCTCTAGCTCTACTCGGAGCTAGTAGACACCAGACACTAGCACGACCATCAGAAAAATCATCTTCACAACACATTATTATGTTTAGAGAGAGAGATAGTTTGGTTTTGTATGTTTATGACAACGAAAAAACTTCAGCAAATCCGGTGAGTTCTTCGGCCGAGGAATCTCTTTTGTCTTTTCCGACTTCCCAAATGTACGTTAAAAAAGAACGTCTTCAACGAAAAGAAAGAAAGAAAACAGACAACCCAAGGGAGGGATGGGAGGACGGCACGCCGCCACCACACAGGGATTTTAAGGAGAGGGGTGTGGTGCGCTAGCCGTCGCCCACCCTTGGGCGTCCGCCTCTTCCTATCTCTCTTCGCAGTCTCTCTCCGATTCTCGCTGCAACCTTCATGCCACCTCGCGGTCGTCCCACTCCTCGTCGTTCTCTCCCTTGTCACTTCCCTCCTCGGTCGCGTCGTTCTCTTCAACGACGAAAGGATTCCCGTTTGTCGTAGTTTTTGCAAACGCCGAGCACCGTCGACCGGCCGCATCTGATACGATGCGTCGCTCCGCCTCGAGCGCGTCGCTCGCCTCGGGCAAGAACATCTCGCCGCTCTACCACAATCCCAAGGACCACTACGACGAGGTGAGATCGGAGTTCGGGCGCTAGCAGTAGCGCGCACACGCTTGATACCCGGCGCTTATGCCACGGCAGATGGGCGACTCGCGCTACACCGACCCTGAGACGGGCCACAAGTTCCAAACCGAGCACGACCTGATCCTCTACGAGCTGCTGCAGGAGCTTGCCCGAGACCTCCCGTGACTGACACACGAGATCTCCCGAGGCTCACCTCTCGTGAGCTGCCGCAGGGGAACCGCAAGTACGTCAAATGGCTCCAAGCGCAGGATTCCTTGAGCGTCCAGCAGAGCCAGTTCGGCGCCATCGAGCAGGAGATGTCGATGGTGACGCTCAAGGAGTGCGGCTACCTGCAGCAAATCGAAGAGGAGCGGCTGGGACTGGCCGGTGGCCCGCTGCGGCCGACGCGGCCAAAGGCGCCAGCCGTCCCCGCGCACGTTATGCTGTGATGACGCCCTCTTCACACCCTCCGCCGGTGAGCAGGCGTTGGTCATCTCGTGCTCGCGCTCCTTTGCGCCGATGGACCACATCTTTGGTGCGGACCCGCGCGCCCTCCTCTCCGTTCGCGTGGCGGGCTACACGTGCTCGGCGGCGGACTCGGTCATCGGCTCGGTCGAGTGGGCTCTGTCGGATCGGACCCCGCCAGTGCTGATAGTGGTTGGGAACTCGAGGAACGACATTGTCGCCACGGCGGTGCAGCACGTGATGGGTGCCGGAGCCTAGACTGGGAATGTGCAAACTCCTTCCGCTCGGCGCACCCCCTCCCCCCCTCCCTACCGTCCTCAGTCTGCGCGAGGACACAAGTCGCCAGTACTCGAACAGTTACATTCGCACTGCACAGGCGGTCGGGCCCCCCACGTGCTGAACGAGCAGCTGGAGAAGCAGCTGAGCGACTCCAGTCTCCTCAACCTGGTGATGCCCGCGGTCCACGACGCGATGCAGCGGCGGCCGCGCGGGACGTACGAGGAGGTGCGCGAGATACAACCGAGACGCGAACAAGGATCTAGACCTCGACCGCGTCCGTTCACACCACAGTGCGTGTAACAGGTTCTCGCACTCGCATGCGAGATGAACGTCTGGCGCACGGTGGAGACACTGCTCGCGAACAGCAAAGCCATCAACGAGTCTGCGGCCAACGGCAGTCTGCGGGGGGGCGGAGGGGTAAATAAAAACCCGAAGAGAGGAGTGGGAAAACCGCTTCCACTCGCGCGGGCGGGAGACGGCGCGTTTAGCCGCGAACGGGGCCATGCCAGACGAGTCGCCTGCGGTTGGGACGCCAGCCGAGACGGGTGCGGCGGGCGCTGGGAGCCTATTCACAGAGGGCTCAACGGGGATTTTTCGCTTCGTTCGCAGCGCGGCCTGGGAACAGGTAGGTAGGTGGGGCACGGAGCCTGGCGGTTGGCGCCCGCAATAGGTAGGTAGGTAGGGCGTTTTGGCGCGAGTCAGTCGCCAGACCCCCTATCCGGGTAGGAGCCGGAACCCTGTTGGTCAGGCCAGACAACCACGCGCAGGCTCTTCGGCCAGGTGAGCGAACGCATGACGTTGACCGCCGATACGACCCTCTACCTCCACTACGAGGAGAGCTCACCCGAGTTCACGATGAAATGTACCGTCGGCGGAGAGGCTCTTGGCGCCGCCGCCGTCCTCGAGCGCTTTGCGCACGCCTACTCCAAGCAGACAGGCTCGCCGCTCGCGCCGGGAGGCCTCCACCTGCGAGACTCGCGCGGCGCCGCGATCGCGTGCGGCGCGCTGCTTCCGTGCGGTCTATCGAACGGGGCAGACCTCTTCGTCTCGGTCGAGGGCCCACCGACAGCCGACGCTGCGCCTCAGGCGGCGGCGCCGGCGCCGCCCGCAGTCACGGCGGCGGCGCCGGCGGCGGCGTCGAGCGGGCCCGCACGGGTGACTGCCAAGGAGGGCTCGGCGATTGCGTCGAGCCAGGCCAGGATGGGAGAGCACTCCTACTACTACTCGGTGGGCAAGGCCGGCGACCCGGAGCGGCCGCCAGTGCCGCAGCCACAGCGCACGTGTGTGGAGCGGGTGGCCGCGGGCGCGCCCGAGGCGACCATCTCTTCCTTCTCCTTCGAGGACACCGATGCGCTCGTCAAGCTCCACATCCCGCTCGCCGGCGCCGGATCGCTGCCCGCAGGCGCCGCCTCTTCCCTCTCGCCCCCGCTGCCTGCCCGCAGCCTCTCACCTCTCACCCCTCGCTGCCGCCACCGCCGCGCAGGCGCGATCCGATGCGACGTGCGGCACCGCTCATTCGACCTGCGCGTGACGACGGCGGGCCGGCTGCTGCGGCTGCACGTGCGTGCCCTCCGCCCGCGGCGCTGCACCGCTTCACGGGCGGGAGAGGGCTCCACCACCTCCACCCCCTCCGACCACATGGCCGTGTTTGGCAAAACGATGGGCGAGGGTGGTATGTCTGTCGCAACGGGTGCGTTATGTGCCCTGCGCGCAGGTGCCGCTGCTGCACGAGGAGGTGGAGCCAGCTCGCTGCGCGCTCAAGACGAGGCAGCGACGGCCCGGGAGGGGGGGGGAGACGCGTTGCGGAGGGGCGGGGAGGAGGAGGGGCGAGGGGCGGGGAGGAGGGGCGAGGGGCGGGGAGGAGGGGCGGGGAGGAGGGGCGAGGGGCGGGGAGGCGCGTCTCTCCGAGTGTGAGCCTCTCGCGCGGGGTGCCGCGCCTCCTCCCTGTCCCGAGGACCCGAACCCGCCCTGCCCGCCCCGCTGGCCGCCGAAGCCGGGCGCGAGGAGCCAAAGCCTGGAGGGAGAGGCTCGACAAGGCTCAGGGAAGAGAGCACCCGCGCCCGCGCCCCGCCCGTCCGCGAGTAGGACCCTCCTCCTCCTCCTCCTCCTCGGGCGGCGGGTGCAGCCACCCCTCCTCCCGCACTGCAGGGCGGGCAAGTTGCTCCTCGTGCTCGCCAAGGCCGAGGCGAAGCAGTGGTTCGAGCTGCGAAAGAGCAAGGGCGTCGGCGACACCGAGTTCCTCAAACTCGTCCCAGACTCGGGAGAGACTCGCACCATCATCGTCTGACGCGCCCCCACAGTCGAGAGCCGCGGTTGCCGGCTCGAGCTCAGGGAGAGACGGTCACAGGCAGCGTAGGGCGGGCGTGGGGGGTCAGTGTCCAGGAGTGACACACGCGCGATCGACCGAGACAGTAGGGGTTGCTAGGTGGCCAAGTGAGAGGTGCTAGGTGGCGGCCAAGGCAGCGTAGGCGGGAGGCGCTCTAGCCTCTATAGGCGTCTCTAGGGTGCACTACGGCTCTAGGCACGACGAGTCCGAGTTCGGAGTTGGTCTACTAGTGGTAAAAACGAGCCCTTTTCGCATGCGAGGTCTGGTCGTAAAAAAAGACGAGAGCGCGACAGAGAGACGGAGGGGCGGCCCCCCCGGATAGCTTTTCGGCGGCTGCACTGCAGACTGCACTGGTCCGTGGTCGGCGGACGGCGCGCGCAGCGGGCGCTGAGCGGTGTCGCCTCGCTGCTATCGAGGCACTCAGGCGGCGCCGTTGAGGAAGGCGAAGTCGGGCTTCTTGACGGCGTACGCGCGGAAGGACTCGGTGCACGCGCGCAGGTCCGCCTCGAGGGACTTGAAGCGCTGCCCCGTCGTGCCCGTCACGAGGCCGACGATGGCGCCGCCGACGACGTGCACGCAAGCGGTCCCCTTCCGGTCGACGGTGAAGCCGGCGCGCGTCAGCAGCGTGTAGCCTGCGCGGGGCGGGCGCGGCGACGGGTGCGGCGACGAGTGCGGGTCTCACGAGGGGAGGAGGGTGGCGGTAGGCGGGTGCGGCGAGGTGCGGCGGAGGGGCAGGCGAGGGATGGGCGAGGGATGGGCGAAAGTGTTTGCGTGCGCACCAAAGTCGATGTAGGCAACGTCCATGCCGTCGGCCGCGGTCAGCCTCTTGACCTTGCCAACCTGCGCCGGGGCGCGGGGCGCGGGCGTGTGCAAGGGCGGGGCGGGCGAAGGAGGAGGCCGGCGGAGGAGGGCAGCGGAGGAGGGCGGCGGGGGCGGCGGCGGCGGCGCCTTGACATCCTCGTAGACATCGCCAGTCATTTGGGAGACGAGGAAGGTGGTCAGGAAGGCCTGCGCAGGGGAAGCCGCCGGGGCCGGTCGGGCGAGGAGGCAGAGGCGGATGCGGGAGGGAGGGAGGAGCACAGCGGAGGAGGAGGGTCGAGGAACCAGGAGCGAGGGCAAGAGAGGGAGCGGGAGCACTGCGGTGCGGGCGCCTTGTCAATCGACTCGAGCGTCTTGCCGGGCGGGAGCTTGGCGGCGACAAAGTCTGCAAAGTCGCCTGGGCGAGCGCGCGAGCGCATGGTGAGCCGCCGCCGCCGCCAGCGGGGTGGAGCGGTGGCGGTGGCGGCGGCTCGCCTTTGAGATAGTTGTTCGCAGCGATCTTGCCCGCCTCGCCGTTCTCGGTGAGGGTGGGCGTCTCAACGAGCCAGCCCGACGGGTACAGGAACTTGACCAGCAGCGTGCTGTCAAACGCGCGCTCCTTTTGCTTGGAGCCGTCAATGTTGGCCGGCGGCGCCGCGCCAATGTACTGCACAAGAGGGGACAGGCCGTTGACCTTTGGCAGTGGCGGAAAGCCCTGCTGCTGGAGGAACTTGGCCACGTCCTTTTCGCCCGTCGGCATGCCCTCGTTCACTCCGCGCACAGTGGTGCCATCTGAGGCGACGCCAGCTGCGAGCGCAGACAGCGGCGCCGGCAGCGCGGCCAAGGCGGCGGAGCGGGCGAGCAGGCCCCTCCGCGACAGTCCCTCGCCCGGCGCGGCGCGTCCGAGCTTGATCGAGGATGTCGGCGTCGAATACGCGAGCAGCAGGAGCAGACAAGCTCGGAGCGAGGACATTGACCCCGACTTCCCGGGTTCCGGACTTTTTGCGGGGTGTGGGTATGGTCACTTGAACCCACCTCGAGCCTGGCTGTTCTTCACCTTTCTACCTACCTACCCACCTCGAGACCATACCCACACCCCGCAAAAAGTCCGGAACCCGGGAAGTCGGGGTCAATGTCCTCGCTCCGAGCTTGTCTGCTCCTGCTGCTCGCGTATTCGACGCCGACATCCTCGATCAAGCTCGGACGCGCCGCGCCGGGCGAGGG